CTGATGAGGTCTCGCTGCCCAGGCGGGTCTCGAACCTGCGGGCTCAGGCAATCCACTCACCTCAGCCTCCCAAAGGCGCGAGATTACAGGCTGAGCCACCGAGCCCGGCCAAAGATCTCTTCTTTAAAAAAGTTTTTAAATGTTTTCTTAGAGACAGGGTCTCAGTCTATCACCCAGGCTGAATGCAGTGGTGTGATCATAGCTCACGGCAGCCTCTACCTCCTGGACTCAAGCAATCCTCCTGCCTCAGCCTCCCGAGTAGCTGGAACTACAGGCACACACCACCACACCCAGCTCACCATACCCAGCTCACCACACTCCAGCTTGATTGTGCCTTTTCTCTGCTTAAACCTCCAGTAGTGTGTTCTCTGGTCAGGACCCTGTGACCCCTCAGCCCTTGGGGACCCGGGTCCCCACCACGTGTGCAATGTTGCATCCTGCTTCTCAGGTCTCACACTTCACACTGCAGAACACCAGATGCATGCAGCCCCGCATGCCTCAGGGACTCGTGCTTCCCTGCCTTTGTGCCATCCTGTCTGGAAAGCCTTTCCTTCCCCTGGTCAGCTGAAAGACCTTCTTCCTCCAAGCTATCCCTCACTGTCCTCCTGTCCAGCCAAGAGTGGAACCACTCCTGGGGACACTGCCACTGTCATGTCCAATACTGTCTTCTCAGTATGTATTCAGATGTCTGTCCCTCCTCCCAGTGTCAACTCTTTGAGGAAAGGGACTCAGTCAACTCTCTGTCTAGTACCAGGCAGTGTCTGGTACACAACCCAGGCCCAGCTCAAGTTCCAGCTTTCCCATGGACTCTCCCTGGGTCACCTAACCTTCCCTCCTCTGAACTGCTACATTTCTGGGTCATTTTTGCCTTGATCATACATTGTCTCATTTCATCCTCTTAAATGTCCTGACCAGGTGTGGTGGCTCATGCCTAAAATCCCAGCACTTTGGGAGGCCAAGGCAGGAGGGTCGCTTGAGGCCAGAAGTTTTGAGACCAGCCTGGGCAACATAGTAAGATAACAGCTCTTTTTTAAAAAAAAGTCTCATTTTTCTGGCAGGTTTCTATGGAATTAGTGAGAATTTTTACTCAGGAGCTGTTGGCCTTATGTTCACCTCTGTCCCTGAGGCCTCGCTGGAGAGCTGGCCTCCTGGGCTGTGGTTTGCCCATTAGTAAGATGGAGACAGGCAGTGCCAGGCAGGCATGTTCTGAACCCCCTGACGCTGGGCACCCCACCCCCAGGAGAGGCCCCTCCGCACTGGCCTAGCGGAAGCTCTGGCTTCAGCAAGCACTGTCCACCGAGGACGAGCTGGCAAGGAAGATTCTGACTCGTGGGTGAGTGGCCTCTGAGACTAACAAGAACTTCTCACACCTGAGACAGTGCTCCGTAAAAACATCGCCTAAGCTGCTTGTCAAATTTGAAATAAAGCAAAGATGCCCAAATAGAGACCTGGCACGGACAAGAAGCCCAGTCCAGATGTGGGGAGGCTGGCAGCACTTTGGGACATCTGGCAGCAACTGGGGAGACGAGCAGGACCTCGGGAGGCTAGCAGCGCATGTGTCTCCAGCCCTGGCTGATCGTTGAGCCCCTGTTGCACCCAACACATTCATTCAGACTGGCTGCCGACCTTGCTGGAGGGCGTGAGCAGGCATGGGGGTCTGTCCTGGTGACTGCATGGTGCATAGTGACGGTGCTGTCCCTGACCCCACCTGGTGCCCTGTGAGCAGCAGCTGCCATGGTCTTCATCGTCAGCAGGTGACTGCTCTTGGGGACTCTGTGGCACTGGCGGCTTGCACAGATGCGTGCCCCATGCTCTGCAGCAGGGCAGGGCCATGGTGTACAGGCTTGAGGTGGAAGCCCCGGGTGTCGATCTGGGGTGTGGCCTCAGTGCTTGGGCAGGTGCCCACGAGCTTTGAGCCCCGCGTCCTGCCTGCCAGGTGTTGGTGCCAGGCTGTGCCTCATGGGGCATGGGCGAAATGCCGCAGGACTGTGAACGCCAGCCCGAGGCCCACGCTGAGGAAGCAATTCATGACAAATGGCTGCTGCCACCGCCAAGGTCACCATCCAGCCTCGTGCTGTAAACTCTCAGCACTGGTGTGCTTGCTGATGTCAGTGCAGGCAGCCAGTCGCCTTCTTTCTCAGCAAGGGACTCCGGGAGGCCCCAGCGGGCAGACGAGAACGGTTGTCTCTGCCCAGCATTGGCCAAGGACCCGAAGGCGGGGCACGACGGGTGCCCACTCTGCCCAGAGCCCTCGCCCAGACACGTTGGGTCCCGCCACTCAGCCTCAGGGGCTCTGCAGTCCTTCCGTGGGGGCGCTGCTCGTCACCCCCACCACTGAACTGCCAGCACGCGCTTGTGGCCAGCTGGCACGATGACCGGTTCTTCTTCATTTTGATTCTGTTACTCATGAACAGATGTAACCTTCACCAACCCGCCGAGTGTGACTTGATGACTTTTTCTTTGAAGATGGTTGGAGGAGCCGCCGGGACGTCCTCTGCAGCTTGTACTTGTGTGGACCTGCCTGCGCGAGGCAGGAAGCGGGCGGCTGGGTGTCCTCAGGGCTGCGGGGAGCCGGGCAGCACGTGCCTGACCCTTGGGGGCTGGGGAAGCGGGGCGCACGTGTGAATGGAGCGGCAGCCCCCAGTACTTTCTGAGATGAGGCCAAGGAGGGCATCATGGGAAATGACCGCTCTCACGGTCGTCCTTACCCCACCCCCACACCTGCCACTGCCAAGGGCTGGGGCTTCTACATAGAAAAGCCAACAAATGAAAAGGCCCAGGGTGAACTGTCCACTGCCTGTGAGGATCGGAGCCCCTTCCGAGGCAGCCACACATTCATGCATGAGCTGAGGACCTGGGGAAAGGCAGGACTTGGCCCATGCTGCAGGCAGCCCAGAGCCCTGGGAGAGCGGCCCGAAGGCAGACGGTTCCTGTGGGGAGGAGGCCAAGTGCTGTGACCGGTCCCTGGGGAACAGGGGAGAGGGGTCTTAAAGCCCCATACCCGGGGATGGTGTTGCCAGGCTTCCAATGCTGCTTGAACTGGGAGCGACAGGGGCACTGAATCCTTGGCCCATGGCCCATGGGTGGTGGCTGCTGGGAAAGATGGCTCAGCCCTGCTCTTCTGTCCTGGGGCTCTTGTTACCTGTTTATACACATTTTGCTATTTACCTTTTAATTTATTATCATATGGCTAGGACTGCTTATAAAATATATGTTTTAATAGAAGAATCACTTCACAGCCTCCTCCCCTTGGGGCCACTCCGTCTCCTCGTCTACCTCTGCCGACTCCTCTGGCACTGTCCTTTCCGTCAGGGCTTCTCTGCTGTCCCTGGGTGGGAAGGACAGGCTGAGGCTTGTTCCCCTGAAGGGAGCAGCTCAGCCTGCCCAACCTCCTCTTCCAGGCCCAGCCGCTTACCCAGCTCGGCCTGGAAGACTATCCCTGCTGAATATCTCATCCTCCTCGTCGTCGGAATCCCTGTGGTGCAGATTATGTGACATGTTCTTCTCGCGTGTGGTGTTGAGAGGTCTGTGCATGTCCCTGAGCCAGAGTGGCCACCTCAGCCTGAAGAAGCCCTCCTAGAAGAAGAGAGGGGAAGATGGACACCATGCTCCCACCTCCCCGGTGCCTGCCCTCGTGGACTTACCTTCTGCTTCCTCGACGAGCACTTCCTGCGCAGCAGAAACCCAAAGAAGCCCCTGGGGAGACACGCAGCATGTTAATGACTCCTGCCACCTCCCAGGCCACTCATGACATCTGCCCCGGGCTCATGAGGACTGGGCATGCACCTCGGCCCATAGTCACAGGGAGGAACCCCTCCTCCAGGGCCGGGCTTGAACATGATTCACTGCGGGTGGGACTCCCAGAAGCCCTCCATGTGTCAGAGGGCCCCACAGTGTCTCAGAGTCTCTGATGGCTCAGCAAGGCGCAGAGGCAGGATTTTCAGCCCCACTCAGCCTGTGGCCACGGCCCTCGTGCAGTGAGCACACTGGCCAACCAGGCCGGGCGGAAGCATGGCACACCCTCAAGGGGCAATGTCCACCCATCTCCTCAGACGCGGTCTCACACAGCAGGAGCCCGGTAGGGGGACGGGAGCTTCTATAACCCGGATGCTCTACCCTGTGAGCCAGGTCACACTGAGCAAATGCCCGAGTCCAGCTGGCAAAGCTGCCCACCTCCCAGATTCCGCCACTGCAGGCATCCCTGGGCGAGGGTGAGCTGCGGAGCCAGTTTAAAGGACATTGCTCTTTGTGAATTTGAGCAGAACAGAGAAACATCAAGCGCTGTTTCAGGAGCCACTTGTCTGTCTAGCGTGTGTATGCTGCTTTGTGGCACAGAACACGCTCAGCCCGGCCCAGTGGCGACAGTGCAGGAGCATCTGGTGCAGGGGACTGGCCTCTTTCAGATGCTCACTGGACGTGTGACCACAGGGCAAGACAGCCTGCCCTTCTCTTTCTTCATTTCCTGTTATAAAGGAGGAGACCAACTGCTGTCCAAGTTCTCTCCCAGTTAAAACCCCATGAGGTCTGGATAACAGGAATGGAGAGTGTAGGCCCAGGACCCAGTGGGGGGGGGGCTTTCCTGCCACCGTCGAGGAAGGACTCAGCTGTTCCACCTGCTCTCAGCTGTGAAGAGATTCGCCCCTCGCCCCATACCAAGTGGCCTTCCCTGCCCTTCCCCAGAGCTCCGAGAAGGCTTCTGGCCTGGCCTGATGCCCTCCGCAGCAAGAACAGGCACCGCCAAACTCTTCCCCACCTCCCGTTTCCCTGCGGGGCTGGTGAGAGCAGGCATGTCCTTGCTAGCCCCGTCCAACACAGCTTTGGGGATCTGGTTTTTGATGGAGCCTGACCAAACACCAGGGTGAGGAAGCATCCTTCCTGCCTCTGGCAGTGACTGCACTACAGAATGAGGGACAGCCAGAGGTGCGTTCCCTCACTTAAAAGTTGCAGGGTTAACGTTTACCTTGAGGTTCCTTGTTTTTTCTTCTTCTTTCGGTGAGCATAAATCTGTTTTGGAAGAAAACGTGGTTATCTACCACAACGACCACTGTCTCTAGATCTTTATTAGTTTTGAGTCTTATCTACCCAATGCAGGAACTTCTTTGAAAACAGGAGTTCTATCCTGTTTGACTCTTCTACAGCACAATAGTCCTTTCGCTTCTGAGGGGCACTGGCTCCAGGACACCCACACTCCAGACCAAAATCTGCAGCTGCTCAAGTCCCTGACATACAGTGGCGTAGCATCTGCATACAATCTAAACACATCCTTCTGCATGCTTTTTTTTTCTTTTTTTGAGTTGGTGGCTCAGCCTGTAATCCCGCGCCTTTGGGAGGCTGAGGTGAGTGGATTGCCTGAGCCCGTGGGTTGCCATTATGTAACTGAGCAAAAGGTAAACAGAGGCAAGGTCCAGAAACAGTTCCTGTAAGCAGGACACACCTCGGGATGCTTTCCCTGGGTCCCTTAGACAGCGCCTCAAACACCGGAGAAGCAGGAGCTACGTGACTCTGACTCCTCTACGGGATGGCCCTTCTGTCTTTGGCCGTGTTCTTTTCTAGGGTGATGGCAGCTGCGAGATGGTGGAGATCATACATCTCTCGTCATTTCCGCAACAGGGAAATAAACCCGTGGCAGATCGGGAATGACTGGGAAGTACACCAGATTGTTAGATAGTTTTGGGTTGGAGAAATGTTGCTGTCATATATACTCTGACCTTCTTAAACTTTGCTTTTGGAAAGAGTCTCATGGTTTGCTAACTTGGTTTCAGTTTCACAGAGATCTGCTGGGAGGAAAGTTCCTTTAAACATCCCCGGGACATATTTTGCAGTAAAGAACAAAGCTTTCCTTAGTCTTGGGGACTAGAGAGGATTGTCAAGTGCCAGTAGGTGGGAAAGTGGCCTTGATTTTCAGCATGTGGGTTCTGAATCTCCAGGAAAGACAGCATTTCATTCTGGAAATCTGAGTTAATTGTTGTCCTTACCTCAATGAGACAGAAGATTAAAATTAAAATTGTAAAGATGACACTAATGGATATCTCCACGATTGGCTTTTTATGATAGCCATATCCTGGAACTTCTTTAGTGAGCTAAAAAAAGGAAAGAAAGAAAAGCTAAGAACAAG